CAGCCGGCATGGGTCACTCGATGTTGCAATGTGGTATGGTCGCAGACGACAGTGCCAGACGCTTGGCACACATCACGAGTGCGCATGATCTACAAGAAGGGAGACCCAGCGGCCTGCGACAATTACCGACCGATCAGTTTGCTGCCAATCGGGTATCAGGTTTTCGCAACGATCATGCTGAAGGACATGGCCGACACAATTTGGCCGACACAATTTGGCCGACATAGCCGACACAATTTGGCTTCAGGTCACAGCGCGGCACTTCGGACGCCATCTTCGTGGCCAGACGCGCGCTCGAGGATGCATGGGCCACAAATGGTGGGACCGTCCTTCTACTGGCGCTGGACTGGGCCAAAGCCTTCGAGTCCGTGTCCCCGGAAGCGATGGCGACGTCACTTCGGAGATTCTGCTGCCCAGCTAAGTTCCTGGAAATGGTGGGCGCAATCTACGATGGCAGACCGTTTATTGTGTCTGACTTCGGCGCAGACTCGGGGGTGCGGCGGCAAAGCTTCGGCATCTGCCAGGGGTGCCCGTTGTCTCCGTTCTTGTTCACCATCGTCATGGCGACGTTGCTGCAGGACGCGCATGAGAAGCTGCTCGAGAGACTCCCGGGCGCCCCCGCTGCGCACTTCGTGCGGGAGGTGGTCTACGCAGACGACGCGCTACTGATAGATACGAATCCGGGCGTCGTGCAGGAGTTGATGTCGTGCGTGGAGGAGTGCGGCGAACAGTGTGGGCTGAGCCTGAATTGGAGCAAAGTCGAGATGATGAGGGTTCTCTCCAACGCACACGTGGTGAACACCGTTGGTGAGACCGTGCGGGAAAAGGAGGCGCTGGTGTACCTCGGGACCCAGCTTTCGTCTGACGGCCGCTTCGGTTCCGAGCTGAGCAGGAGAATCGGCGCAGCGAAGCAATATTCTAAGGTGCTGGATTCGATCTGGTCTCACGCAACTCTGTCTATGCATAGGAAGGTGAAGATTTTCAAGGAGTGTGTGGTTTCAAAACTATGCTATTGTATTTTTGCTGCTTGTTTGAACCAATCGGAGCGCAGAAGGCTGGGCGGTTTCCAGGCTAGGTGCTTGAGGAAGATATACCAAATATCAGCACCCTCATATTCTAGCCGCGTGTCCAACAGCGCCGTCTTGAGCATCGCCGGAGAAAGGCCGCTGAGCGAAGCTATTGCGAAACAACATATGGTATTTTTAGGAGAGCTCGCCAGGCGCCCTGTCAACGACCCAGTGCGCAGCTCCGTCTTCCAGCCAGGCGGCATCGAACTCCGAAGGCCGACAGGGGCTCGCAAGCGAGGACGTCCCCGACAGATGTGGGGCAACATGGTGCTGAATAACTGCATGAAGGTTGGTGGCTCCCGCGCCCGCCTGGCTGACTTCTTCCGGCCGGAGGCCGGTGCAGCTGCAGCGTGGGAGGCAGCTGCCAGATCATGGCACGATTGATGTTTGCCCCCCTCCCCTCCGCCCCTTCTCCTCCTCCTCCTCCTCCTCCTCCTCCTCCTCCTCCTCCTCCTCCTCCTCCTCCTCCTCCTCCTCTCTATCAGATTGCAGTCAGACTTGCTTTGCAGAGCCTGGTGAGTAGATCACGGTGCATCCGATACCCAGAAGAGGATTTGTTAACTCGTTTGTCTGTGAAACGTGAGTAGGTTAGCTCAGACATCATCAATCCCCTAGGTGGGATATGATGTGGACGAAGCGTCGAAAGTCATCAGGGTGATTTACAGCACGTTCTGAAATTTACCGCAGGAAGGCCCGCATGAGAGATTCATGCACCGTTTTCCGTTCCCATACATTTCTTTCACCGCTACCCCCATAAAGCGGATTCTTGCGAGACGCCTCTCCGATGGAGGGCTCCGCTCACTGGTTTGGATGGAGTGCCGAAGTGCCCCTTCGCAGGCCCAATCGTCTTGTTTCACCCTGCTCGCGCGCCGTCTGGCGCAAGGCTTCTGACCTGACCTGGGGGGTCCAGCGGAATGACGCCCTACGCATCTTTATATTATGTCTCGCCACCCTTGGGCGGCTGCGAACTCCGAAGCTGCCTCCACTTTTGAGGGCTGCTGGGGGGTCCAGCATAGCGACGTTTTACGCGGACTCGTGCTCGTGTTGATTTCGGTTCCCGCGGACCGCCCGAAAACCTAGCGGCGCGTTTGCTGGCGTTCAGCTCCCTCACTGCCAGGTGCAGGATGGAAACGGAGAACCTGGCGGGCGAGTTTGGCATCGTTTGCTTCTTGCACCAGCTATGACAAGCTGACCCTTTGGACCGCCAGCGCCGCACGGCACGGGCCGCGCTGCTTGTCCAGCGTACCACTGGACAAAGATCGCTACTTTCCTTCCTCATCCTGCCTCTTTGCTTGTCATCCTTTTCCTCCTTCCGCCGTCTCGCTGGTGTTGTCGCGTTTACTTTCAGCCCCTCTTCCGTCCTTTTCTTGTCTCTCGTTCTTACCACCTCGGTCCCCTTCATTTTCGGCCCCTCTTTCCCATCCCCGTTTCCTCCTCGAGCTTTGGGCCTCATTTCCCGTCCTTTTTTCGCTTCCCTGTGAGTCGTGCAGCGCGCGTGCGCTTCCAATCTAGCTTGCGCAATTAACCAGGGAGCTTGTGTTGCTATCACCCATATCAGCCTGAACAAGTGGATACTGTCCCTTGCTACGCAGGGGTTGGGCGCGTCGCATTTTATTGTCGTCGTCGTCGTTGTCGTTGTCGTTGTCGTTGTCGTTGTCGTTGTTGTTGTTGTTGTTGTTGTTGTTGTTGTTGTCGCTGCTGCTGCTGCTGCTGCTGTTGTTGTTGTTGTTGTTGTTGTTGTTGTTGTTGTTGTTGTTTTTGATGTTGTTGTTGTTGTTGAACATTATTAATTCTAAAGAATAATTATTGTTGGGACCCCTGGTGCACGGCCCCCCTGCGCCGCCTAGGCCGCAGCTGCATTTTCATCATTTTCGTGAGGAAGCCTCAGGTAATTCGATGTGATCAAGATCCGGTTGTTTTGTTCCCCCCCGCTTTCCCTTGCAAAAAACACTATAAAATGACATTTCTTGTTCTAATATAATCAAATTTCAAGAATCCCTTGCAAAAAATAAGGTAAAGTGGACATTCGCGCGCGCAAGACGAAATCCTTCCAAAAGCTTAGTGTTCGGAGCGATTTTAACATAAAAACATCAAAAAACCAATGGTTTTTCAACAAAAAAATGTCAAAATCTCATCCCGCGCGCTCTTGCGGATTCGTAGGAAACCCAACACTTTTTAAACATTTCTGTCAAACGGGCTTTTGCGAGCAACTTTTTCGAACTTCTGCGACAACGGTTGCGCACCTGCCAGGGCCATCATCCCTGTCAAATAATACCATGCGGGACACATTCGTTTTTTCTTCGCGCGCGCACGCCGAAATCTCCAAAAACCATTGGGCTTCTTAAGAATTTTAGCACCGCGCATCATAAAATCACACGAATCGCACCGTAGGTCTTCGAAAAACACCTGCACGACTTTTCAAAATTTCTACCCGCGCGCGCTTAACAACTTCTGTGGGTTAACAAGGCTTAACAACTTCTGTGGGTGTACGAACGTAGGCTTAACAACTTCTGTGGGTGTGTACTCCACGCCAGTGTAGTAGCCACGGTCGTCCGCAGGCCACGAAGTGAAGTGTCCGAACGTCATAGGGCGGGAAGCTGGGTGTGGGTGGTGGCGAAGAGTCGTGTGGATATTTGGTAGAGCTTGCACTGCCCCCCCACAAAGTGGGGGTATTGGCTGGCGTCGCATGAAAACCCTGGCACTGGTGAGAACACTGAGCGTTCGGGTAAAGTGATTGTTGTTGTTGTTGTTGTTGTTGTTGTTGTTGTTGTTGTTGTTGTTGTTGTTGTTGTTGTTGTTGTTGTTGTTGTTGTTTGTTTTGATGCAGGATGCTAAGACTACCACTCGTAGTAATAATAACCATATTGCTAACCACAATAATAAAAGGACGCGAATACTGGTATGATGAATATGAATACAGAAGCCATAATGCATCATACGTATAATGTTGACACGTAAACTATTCATATTCATAGGAATCATACAAATACGATGAATAAGCATCACATTGATTCCACTTCTAACACTAACACTCATAGTAGTGCTAAGAACAGGGAAAACTTGAATCAGCTCAATATCGCTAGCCATGATAATGATACGGTGAAGCATAATGATACGAATAATACTGGGAATAACAAGACGAGTACTAGTAATACAAGTAACACACACAGTAAAACTAACACCACACATTAATAGTATGACTCGCAGTTCTAGTAATATAACAATTATGAATACGAATTCAAATATTATCAGCACGGAAAAAATAGCAGCATAGTGCGAATCGTACTAGTAACACTATTCATCAATAGTAGTAACCAAACAAGAGTCATCATACTATTGGTAGGATAACTAGTTTTACTACTGATGCAAGTACGAATGCTAATGATAATAATACAACGGATACAGAGAATAATACCAGGACGGAATAAACACATAATAATTACATGAATAAAATTATTTATAATAATACGACGAATAGGAAGAGGAAGGGGGAAGGAGGAAGGAGGAAGGAGGGAGGAGGGAGGAGGAATGAGGGAGGAGGGAGGAAGGAGGAGGGAGGAGGGGGAGGAGGAGGAGGGAGGAGGGAGGAGGAGAGACGAGGGAGGAGAGGAGGGAGAGAGGAGGAGGAGAGGAGGAGGGAGGAGGGAGGAGGAGGGAGGAGGAGGAGGAGGGAGGAGGGAGGAGGAGGAGGAGGAGGAGGAGGAGGAGGAGGAGGAGGAGGAGGAGGAGGAGGTGGGGGAGGAGGATAATGAGGACGAGGAGAAGTGGGAGGAGGGGGAGGAAGAGGGAGAGGAGGTTTCCGGAAGTCTCTGGAGGTTTCTGGAGGTTTCTGTAGGTGCCACGGAGACCTCTTGATTTTCCCAGGGGGCCCAAAAGGGGTGAAAGGACACGCAAAGACCTGGAGGAGTGAGGTCGGACCCCCCCGCCCGCCAGCTGCCGCGCTGGCGCCCGCCGACGCCGCACCCGCCCCAGAGATGCCGGAGGTGCCGGCGCTGGCGATGGCGTCGCCGTCGGACCGGGGGCATCGGCCGGCGCGACGGCGCCTGCGACGTCGGCGCTGGTGCCGACGCCAGCGACGAATGCTTCTTGATCGATTTTTTAGGTTCTCGTCGCCGCGGGTGGGCGCGGCCTGGAAACCAGCCAGCGTGGACCCAGGAAGGGTCTGGGGGCGGGATTCGTGGGCAGGACGATTCTGCCGACGCCGACCACGCCGAGGACGACGCCGCCGACGACGCTGGTGGCGATGGCGACGGTGTAGCGAGGCAGAGTAGTGGCGTCAGGACGGGGGTGGGAGGGGTGTGTGGCGTGGTAGAGCGGGGTCGGGAAGGAGGAATGATGAGCATGCCGACGAGGAGGAAGAGCAGGAGGAGGACGAAGAGGAGGAGGAGGAGGAGGATTCGCTAGGAGGAAGAAGAGGAGGAGAAGGAGGAGGAACATGCTTACGAACAAGATGTGTCAACATGAAGTGACCCAGGTGGGGAGTTTGTTCCATTCGTCGATTTGCTGCTCACGTGTTGCTGCAAGGCTCTGGCAAGCGGCCAATGGCACGTACGTGCTGGATTACATCGTTGTGCAGCGGTGGAGGAGGCGATAGATCCGATGACGGGTAACGATGCTGGCAGGCTCCATTCCGATTCGATCGAACCAATCCGACGCGAGCGCGCCCGGTTCCGATTCGACTTTGATTCGATTTGGCGCAAATGGAAACCGATTCGATTCCGATTCGAATTCGAGCCGATTCGATTTCGATTCGATGCGCCTGGACATCCACGGCAACGCCGCTCTTTTTGACGAAGAGTGTGCACCACCAACGGAGCCTCCGGCGCCGTCCCTGGCGCGCTCTGCGCGCCAGTGGGGAGGGCTCAGTGCCAATTCAAGAAATCCACAAGGGCCTCCGAAGGGTTACCCGTCGGTCGTTGAGAGCCTGTGTTTTTTGGATCCCCAGATCCCAATCTACTTCTAGCACCTTCTTACTTCAAGGGTCGAGCGGCCTTCCTTCTTCCCTCCTCTTCAGGGGGGCTGGCGGAAGCCCAGTCTACTTCCAACGCCTTCTTACTTCATGTTTTTACACACGTCTCACGACCAGCGGGTACGTGGGTGTCTCGTCTTCCATCTTCCCTCAAACCGGCCATTGTCGGGCGGGGCTGGGACACGGATAGATCCGTTCCAGAGCGCTGCGGAACGCTCTGAGAGCGTTCCAGAACGCTCTGGGAAGGCCCCGGTGCCCGATACATCTTCCAGAGTTGCCAGATCTCAGAGATTCTCGACTCATCTTCATCCGAATTTGTTCTCGTCCTGGCTTAGTCTTCCATCTTCCCTCAAAGCTCGCCGCGCGCAGAGGGGGGTAGGGGGAGCGGGGAAGGCTTCTTAGAAGCACCCCTGCTCTTAGAAGGCGCGTGCCTTATCCATAAATGTAAGGCCGGTGCCTTCTACGAAGCAGCCTCCTTCTGCAGAGCCTTCCCCCCTCCCCCTACCCTCTTGTGCGCGCCGCCAAGAAGCGGCCACAGCGAGCTGTAGGAGGACGGAGCAGTGGACTCCGTGGCGCTGCAGGTACATGGCGGCACTTCCCATATATCTATATATATATGTATATATATATATATATGTCTATATACATATAAATATATACAAATATTGCGCCAGGTGGATCCCTCTGCGGCCGTCGACGCATGCTGGAAAAGACGGTGCATGGCTGGGCAGTGGCAGCGGGCCCTGGCGCTGGTCGGAAAGATGCTGGAGGCGAAGCCAGAGCTCAGAGCGGGAAAATGTACCCATGCCGCCACCCTTTTGTCTTGCTCTCGTGCCTCTGGGCCCCTCTGGGAGGGGAGGCCCTCGTCGCCACCGCTGGACCCGCCTCGGATTTCTGGTCGGAGCGCACCGTGGGAGAGGTCCTGGGAGCAGCGGTGTCCGCACCTCTGGTGACCCCGACGCCAGAGCCCGACGTGATCGGCTGCAGCGCGGGGGCCCAGGTCGGCGGCGGGCCCGGGGGGAGGTGGGCGGGGGCCGGCCTTCTCAGAAGGCTCGGAAGTCCCCCGGCCTTCCGTCAAGCGGTGGCGAAGCGTCTTGGCTCGCCTATAGCCCTACCGAACAATGTTCTGAGAGCCTTTTGTGGTTCCCACGCAATGTTCTTAGCACATTTCTGGCTGGGACTGTCTTGTTTTGTCACATCGGATTTATGTTCTCAGAGCATTGTTTTTGTTCTGAGAACATTTTTTGGCTCTAAGAACACTTCGTGGTAGGACTATAGGAATGCTGGGACGGTCGGTCCCTGCCCAATTCCGAGGAGTTGCCCCTGCCCTCCCTGGAGACAGAAGACTTCTTTCAGAACTCCGTAGTGCTTCTGCGGAGCCCTTCTCGCTTTCCCCCCTCGCTTCTGCCGCCGACTGGAGTCCGACGTGATCCGCTACAGCGCGGGGGCCAGCGCGTGCGAGCAGCGTGAGCAGTGTCAGCGGGCTTTGGCGCTGCTCCGCGAGGTTTGGGAGGCGAAGCTGGTGCATGACGTCGTCTCGTGCAGTGCTGTGATCAGCACGTGCGGGGCGGGCATGCAGAGGCAGCGGGCTTTGCCGCTGGTAGAGCCGCCCAAGAAGGGCCCCGAGAGGTCAGCATGACTATAATTCACCTTGGGTTTTGGCAGGGTTTCAACGTTGTTGCCTTTTCGGATTCTCGACGCAGCAAGACGGCTCCAGAGGCCCCCAAGATGGCCACAAAACGGCCGATGAGGCCCCTAAGCCCTAAGTGGGCCCCCAGACGGCACAAGAGGGCCCCAAGACGGCCCCCAAGACGGCCCCCAAGACGGCCTAAGACGGCCTCTCCGTGATCATTTGGGCTCAAGATCAGATCAAGCAGGTCGGCGCAAGCTACCTGAAGTATTGTTCACACGCCTACACACTCCTGATAATCCCCGATAGGGCGAGCCCATGGCGTTCGAGGGCATCGCCTGCCTCGTGCTGGTCGCCAGCTCTGCCCTGCCGCTGCAGGCCCTGACGCTGCACGAGGCCGACGAGGCGCTACTCCGGCGTGCTGGGCAGGGCGCCGCGGCGGGAGAGGCTGGCAGGCGCAGCGGTATGATAGACCTCCAGCACCTCGTTGACCAGCACGCCGCGTCCGAGGTCGAGCTTCACGCCCGTGCGGCCGAGACGTTCCGCAAGTTTGCCAGCAAGATGGCCAAGAGCGGGTGCAACTACAAAGGGGGCCTGCTGCCGTGTCCCAACGGCCACATCTGCCACTACACGGGGCAGAACGGCGTGAGGTCCAACGCGACTGTGGAGTACCGTGGGAACATCATCCGGACGGTCTTGTCCCCCGATCCCGACCAGGGACTCGATCAGCCAGACCTCGTAACATTCATGGGGGCCAGCACCGACGACGCTCCTGCAATGCTGACGGAAGTGCCAGAGGAATACAGGAGAACAGCGGACCCCGTGATGTTGAAGATGTTTTTTATTGAGGATACTGATGATGTGACTGAAGAGTGCCCTCATGACAGTGAGCGCGTTGAGACCATGGGCGACAGCACCGTGTCGTACTCCATTAACAGCAGCACTTTCTCGGTTGAGACGCGAGAAGCGACCACCAATAAGTTCATGGGCATGTCGTTTGATTTCGTCAGCGAGGCACCTGTGGGTCACACCCTGGCCTTCGAGATCCCGGCTGGGACGCAGATCGTCTGGGTCACCCGCGAAGAGATGGTGCAGGTGCTCCAGACGCAGGAGTTGCCCGCATCCGCCGAGGCACGGTTGGAGGCGCAATTGCGCAGGGTTTATCAGTATCCTGGCAGTGTCTATCCTACACATGGTATTGACGACGTGCTAATGCAGAAAGGAAGCAGGAGGCGCAGGCGCAGGCAGTCATCGTGTTCAGACTCAGAGACAGGGGCGATGATCGGAGGTGGCGCCGCCGTAGGCGTGGGTTTCTTACTCTGCGCGTTTACTTTCATTGGCTGCTTCGTGGGCGCGCCGTTCTTGGTAATGGCCGGGACGACGTCCATTACGAATGGTGCTTGCAGCTGCTGGGCAAGCAGTACTGCGGGTCAGACCGCCTGTGGATTGCGGTGATGGGGCGATGACTGCCAGGGCGATGGCGGTCTCCTGAGGCAACTGGCCGGCCGGCTGGTGACCATCGGCTGGCGACCATCGGCCTAGATGCGGGACGGAAGTGTGTATTTCTGACAGGCAGTACGGTCGGACTGAGGTATGAGATCGAGGTCGGCTCGGGGAGGGTCCCCTAATGTTCTTCGTGTCCGTTGGATGTTCTTGTGTATCCTGGGTGAGGGCACCCTCGAATGTTCTTCAGTTTGGCCAGTGGAGGATCTCATTTGAAGGGTATTTTATCTTTCCTCGGGGCTCTGGCGCCGCTTGGAACGCAGAGAGGAGACCAACCTTCTGCAGACCCACGGGAACCTGGGGCTCCCCTTCACTTAAATTTGAGTTTGAAGTTTCGCTCGACGCGAGGAAGCTTCGCTCCATTTCTATTTCAGCAAGTTTCAGCCTTCTCGTCGTCCTTATCTTCCTCCTCCTCTTCCTCCTCTTCTCTCTTCTCCCCGTCCTCCCTCGCCGCATCCGTTTGCCTCCGCGGGGACGGGCAGGGGCGGGCAGAGAGGACAAGCAATCGCGGGCGAGCGGGGGTTGCGGATGAAGGAACGACAGTATGTAGGTTTTGAGTCTTCTGTGTTGGGCTCGCGCCAATTCGCACTACTGTCAGTGGCTGTCTGTTGAACAGGGCTTCTGATGCTTCTGTGCATCGCTCGCGCCAATTTCTCAATCTTCCGTGGCTATCCGTCTTCCAGGGCTTTGAGACTTTTGTGAAAGGCTCGCGCCAACTAGCACCTCTTTCAGTGGCTGTCTGTTTTACAGGGTCTCTGAGTTTTCTGTGCTTGGCCTGTGCTAATTTGCACCCCTCTCAGTGGCTGTCTGGCAGAGTCTGGTTGCCACCGTCATCGACGGGATCTTGCAGGCCGCTGCACATAGATCGGCGCCATTCTCCCAGGCGACCAGATCGGCGACCAGATCGGCGACCATGCACGGCCTTTGCGACCAGATCGGCGACCATGAACGGCCTTCTCGATGTCGACCAAGATCGGCATCGCATTTGAAAAGAATGAAGGTCTGTCTGGCACCGTTTTGAGGCTGCTGCGCGGGTTCTTTCCCCCAGCATGCTCGTGGTGCGGTCCACGGGGGCCGCTGGATGGGGCCGTGCTCGGGATCCCTTCCCGTGGGCGCGGCTCCGCGCCGCGAAAGCGCGCCCGCGCTCGCCCTTCCCCGCGGCGAGCTCGATGCCGCGCGCGCGGGCGGCGGGCTCAAGATGCGGGGGTCAAGGCAAACGGGGCTCAGCCAGAGCGCCGGATTTTGCAGGATCGTGCAGGGCCAGGGGCGCACTGACCCGGGTTCGGGTGCAGGATCCTGCAGGGTCCTGCAAGATCTTGCAAGGCCCGACCGACCCGGGTTTGCATTGACCGGGGTCAGCGAGTCCCCGAGGACGGCGATCATGAAGTGCCCGAGCACGGCCGTCCTCCCCCTCGGCGCGGTCTCCGACGGCGTAGTCGTTTCGCTTCAAGCCATTTTAAGAGGCGAGTAGATCTTGTGGATCAGCACGTCGGCGCTGGTGGCACCATGAAGAAAGTTTCCACAGCTTTTTCGTGGATATTCGAGGAATTCTGGGGGTCAACTGCGCCTTGAAACTCTCAAACATCTCGCGAAGACTCGCTCGGCCTCCACGTCGTCGAGCTCTTCTGGGCTCCCGCCCAGGCCGCGTGCGGCGTCGGGCACGGTCCGCTTCGTCGTGCTTCTTCCTGTTTTTCTTCTTCTTCTTCGTTGTGGCGTTGAGTGGACACGGTCGTTCCCACTAGGGGGCATTAGTGAAGGTAAAACAGCATGTGCGGGGCGGCAGCAGAGGTGTGGATGTGCAACGCCATGTTGTACCTTCTTCGTGTGGAGGCTGGCGTGTGGCCTGCACCAGCGTGCAGCCAGGAAAGGTGCGAGAGCCCTGCTGCTGGCCTTGGGTCTGGTGCGTGGCGCCTCCAGTGTCTTGAGTGGAGTAGGTGAGTTATGAGGGAGGTCCTGGAGGCCTCGCGCGGCGTGTAATAGTTGTATTATCTAGTCCATACGTTAGCTCCGTCAGCTGTGGATCGACGCTCGCGCGGCGATGCTCTGGCGTCAGTCTGACGTAAGTCCGACGTAATTCCGACGCAGTCCGACGAAAATCCGACACAACTCCGACGCGGATCCGACGCAAGTCGGGTCTCACGCTGTCGCGCGAGGCCTCTGGGATTCTCCTGATGAGGTGAGCTCCGAGTGGCACGTGGAGGCGCAGAACCGCAGCCGGCCCCCCTTGCTGCAGCTTTCACTGCTGAAGACACCAACCCGCTCTTGACGGCCGGCACAAGCAGACTCAAGCGGGGGGCTGCGTGGCCTGCCGGGACCCCTTGGCTCCTCCTCTGACCCTCCCGGGGGCGCTCCTCCTCCTTACCCTCCCAGGGGGGCAGGATGCGATGGGCCCCCCCGCCTCCCCGGACCTCCGTCACGAGCCCCTCGAGGCGCGGGCCCCCGGGGACCTCCCGACCCCCTCCCAGACGGGGGCCCGCTCTCCTCGCCTCTGCGCAGCTCCGCTCGACGCCTCGTCCTCCCGGAGGCCGAGAGGCGGCGGAGTGCCTCGGGCACGGCCTCCCCGGTCGGCAAAGGTCTGGGCGCGGGGGCCTCGAGAAGCGCGCCCTGGACCTCTCCAGGCGGGCTCTCTCTCGCCAGAGCCTTGGAGGGCAGTCAGTCCAGCCGCGGCCGCGATGGGGCGCCCCAGGAGACCCAGAGACACCCAGGGGCCTCGATTCTCGATCGAGGCCTTCCTCTTCCTCCGCGCTAGGCCTGGACGCCTGTCCGCAGTGGTGGCCTTTCGTTTGCTCGCTCGACCCACGGTCGAGGACCGGTCGGCGGCGAGCGAGGGCGGGAAGCGAGAACGAGAAGGCCTCCTCAAGAGGCGGCGGGACTGCTCGGAAGCCTTCTCGCCCTCCGAGAAGTTCTCCGTGTCTGCGGATGGGGCCGAGGCAGCTCTTCGCTAGGCTGGATGACTTCGGAGCCTTCGGAAGAGGCCCGGCCCTCCTCGCTTCCCCCCCGATCGCCCTGGCTCGCCGCCGATCGTCCGTCTCTCCCCCTCTGCTGCCTCCCCAGGCCATTGGCGTCATCGTCGCCGTATGCATGCATGCAGGGATGTATGTCTGTATGTATGTCTGTATACTATATATATATATATATATATGTCTGTAGGTATGCATACGTGTATGTCTGAATGCACGTATGTATGTATTCATGAATGCATGATGCACGCACGCATGTATGTATCAACGTACGTATGCATGTGCGTATGTATGCATGTATGCATGCAGGCATGCACGCGTGCATGTATGCATGTGTGTATATATATATATGTATGCATGCATGGATCGATGACTTGATGTTGTATGCATGTATGCATGTATTATTGTATGCATGTACGGATGCATGCATGTATGCATATATGCATGCATGTATGTATTCATGTATGCGCGTCTGTAAATGTATACGTATGTATTCATGCATATGTGTATGTACGAATTTATGTATGCATGTGTGTGTAGGTATGTATATCTGTCTGCATGTCTGCACGCATATGTTCATGTGTGCACGTACGTCTATATACGTATGTATACATATAATGCGTGCATGTATGCATGTATGCATGTGTGCATGCATGTACGTTTATCTTTATGTTTGTATGTATGTATGCATGCATGCATGTCTGTATGCATGTATGCATGCATGTATGTAGGTATGCACGTCTTCATGTATGTACGTATGTATGTATGCATGCATGTATGCATGTACACATGTATATATGCATGCATGCATGCCTGTCTGTATGTATGCATGTATGAATGCATGCGTGCGTGCGTGTATGTATGTATGTATGGATGGATGGATGGATGGATGAACGGATGATGTATGTATGCATGTATGCATGCATGCATGTATGTATGTATGCATGCACGAGTGTGTGCACGTGCTTCTGGTCATGTGCACGCATGACACATGGCGGGCGGATCGAGGCCTGGGCCGCAGGCGGCCGCGAGCCGCGCGAGCCGCGGCCCGAGTCGCACGCGCCCCGCGCGGCCGCGCCCCCGCGCGGCCCGCAGGACTCTCGGCCTCCGAGCGCCTCGGGCGCCCCGCCGCCCGCTCCGCGCTTGCCCTGGGGGGGGGGGGGCAGATGGGGGCGCCTGCCTCCCCTTTCCTCCCTCCCCTCCCCCCCCCCCGGAAGAGGAAAAGGTACCCATACCGCCACCCTTCCCTCGTTTTCCCCTTGCTTGGGCCTCCGGGGAGTCCCTCGCCGCCACCGCTAGGTTCGCCTCGAAGACCTGGCCAGAACGCACCCTGGGAAAGGTCCGGGGAGTACCAGTATTGGTGTCTTTTGGTCTCCCCACCCACCGTATGAGATTACAGCGTAAGCTGTCTGCTTGGGTCTGAGAAAGTGTCATGGTTTCTGTGCTCATGTTTCCGTGCGTGATTTTGCCGAAGCCATGCACGAATCGAATTGCCCCCCATAGGCAGGAATACCTCAATCGCCTTTCAATGGGACTGTGGCCTCAGCTGCTCAGCAAGGCTGAGCGTGCTCAGCGGGCCACTCAAACTTTATTTACCAGACACGTCGAGTTGCTCGTTCTCGCTCTCGTTCCCTCCCTCCCACCTCCCTCCTCCCCCCTCCGCCTCGTTTGTCTATCGGTTGTTTGTGGCCTCTGGAGCCTCACTTGTTGTGGTTTCGGTGTCCTTCCCCTCAGCCTCGTGTGCCTGAGGTGAGGATGCGCCCGCTGTAAGAGCGGTTCCGACTAGTGCCCAAATAGGTTCGGCATTCGCCTGGGGCAGTTGTGAGCGTAACTCGCTCTTTCGAGGACGACCATACCGAACCCACTCCGTCTCCGCCTCCTTCCCATCCTCTTCTCCTCCCTCTCCGCCTTCTCCTCCTCCTGCTCTCCGTGCTTCCCTCCTGCGCCCTTTCCCCTTCTCCTCCTCCTCCTCCTTCTCCTCCTCCTCCTCCT